CAATTTATCCCGTGTGTATCAGATTTTCCAAGTCTCATTATGTGACCTATAAAGTTTAACTGTCTCATCCTGATGATTGTTGCTCACATATCCTCAGCACCCTTCTGTAGTACCTCTTTTCTGTAGCTTCAAGTCTCTTCTTCATCTTTGAGGATGTTGTCCAAAATTCACTGCCATATGGGAGGACAGATATCAGGTAACATTTCAATAGTCGTTTCTTTGTTTTTAACGAAACTTTTCTGTTTCTTAATATTTTTTTAAGCGTTGCAAACCCCAAGCTAGGCGGGAAGCCACTAGCACGCAAGGGATTACAGAGAGTTGGTGCGAGAGCAAATAGGAGTGATAGAGGAAAGGATGAAGAGAAGGATAGGGGATAGATCAAGGAATCTGGAGACGTCGATTGACATTATATTTGAATAGTTGGAGATTATAGCTATCAGGGAAACAGGAAAAGAGGCGGGAGATCCACAGGCGACAAGTGCGAGACATGAAGCTATTGGAGTGGAAAAGACGGCTACATTAAACAATTTCGACAGTGAAAGGGAGAGAGCGAGATGCCAGCCTAGTAGAACGCTTAAATTCATGACGTCTGGGAACCAGCAAAATCAGCTCATCGGGGCAGTTACTGCGAAAGTATTTTTAAAAAAGACAGAGGGAGGCGACGGCACGTCTGTGAGAGAGCGACTGCAGACGAGATGCCAGATCAGGGCCAATTACATTGCACTGCTTAGCTTTTGGAATGCATCTTTGGTCATCCCGATGTGTCTTTGGATTTCGGTGTCACATTTTCCGTACTCTGTTAAATCCCTTACAGGATGGTTACATTTATTTTGCTTGCTTGACTTTGGTATCTCCGATTTGTAAATTGTATGTTGGGATTTTCCGTTTGTTAACAAACATAATTAATTCTATTTTCGCAGTTCATTAGAATCTTAATAAATCAAAGAATAATTCGGTCATGTAAGGTGCAGTTTCTTCTTTTTATATTGAAAAATCTATTAAAAGACAGGACAGAGACTTTTTTTCTGACCAGACTCAATCTTACTCTTCCATGCTTTGAATATTGCTGCCATATCTGGTCTTGTGCTCCAGCTACATAATTAAAGATTCTTGATAAAAACCAAAAAAGTAATCTGCAATGTTATCAGTCCTTACCTGGCATCTCGGCTTCAGTCACTTCCCACCGCCGTAACGTGGCCTCCCTGAGCCTTTTCTATGATGGTAATTGTTCTGATGAAATTTCCGCTATGGTACGTAGACATTATGAATTTAAGCAGAGTACTAGATTGGCAGCTACGTCTCATAATTTTATACTTGAAATGTCTAAACGCAACCGTAAGTTCTATGCTGACAGTTTCTTCTATCGCACTTCTTGTTTGTGAGCTCTCTTCACAAAAAAAGGAAAGGAAAAATACTTGAAGTGTATTTCGACTATAGAAGTAAGGAATTGTTTCTACCTTTTTTCCTTTCCTTTCATGTACCCTGAAGAAAAGAAGCTAAAACGAAAGACATTGAGCACAATCTCTGGACAGTTGAGCTTGGTTTTTGTTTTTGAGTGTATTAGCTTTATCGATGTTATCTACAAGACAGCGGTCTCGTGAGTAAAGACGTCGGTATGGGAATTTGGCAGTGGTTGTGAGTTCAATCCGAGGTCGGGTAGTGTGTACATGCAATCAGGATACAATAGCTGAACAGTGCTAAATAAAGATGAAATCTAGACGCTATACCTAAACTTGAGCGGTGGAACAAGAACAGTCTCCTCCCGTAAATTAAATAAAGTGTTCAGTTCGGAATTCCCTGTTGGTTATCCTGATCAATATACACCATACGAACCTGGCGGTCATAACGGCCAAAATTCTGTGATCGAAACAACAAACATGAGGAAAATACTTCCGAATATTAATAGTGTAAATAATAATAACATTTTATCCCAGAAATTCAACAAAAAATTGTCTACGAGTGTCGGTTGAACATTTCATAGGCTGACCAAGAAACTCTTACGGAACATGACCAAATATGGTTTATTTTTCAACATAGCCCTCCCACTTGAGGCCCACACAATTCTTCTATCGTTGTTGCAGTGCTTGATTCCCATTGGTTAAAATTCATCAACAGCAGATATGACGTCATCACCAATACATTACTGGTTCCCAGTTACGTGCTTTTTTTCATGTTGGAGAAAAGATGATAGTTAAATGAGGAGAAAAGGAGGGTGATCAACCAGTTTAAAGTCACAATCAGGCACAGTGGCCATTGAAACCAAAGACTTGTGTGCTAGGAAATTGTCCGGATGAAAGACTACTTTCGTACCGTCTTGGGTATGACTATAAACTGCATCCGCGGCATTGGTAAGACGAAAAACTACGTCCGCGTCCTGGGTAAGACAATAAAGAGCGAGGCCTCTGATCAGGTGGTTTTGAGGAGCGTGGTACCACCTCTTATTTGCTGGTGTTCCCACGTCTACGCGGAATGGCAGCACCTGTTAAGCTTCCAACAATAGGCAAATAGTTAACCCCTAAACTTGGGTTAAACACTATGAAAGTGTAAATTAGGTTTTAGTACCGGCAATATATTTTTTGAATGAAAAATTATTACCAGCGATATATTATTTTTAGTAATAAATTTTTGAAGGAAAATTTAATGTATATTTTTATCTATTTTTTTATATTATTTAATATATATTTTTATATTAATTCATTCATATTATTTAATATATATTTTTATATTAATTTATTCATATTATTTAATGTATATTTTTATATTAATTTATTCATATTATTTAATATATATTTTTATATTAATTTATTCATATTATTTAATGTATATTTTTATATTAATTTATTCATATTATTTAATTTTTTTTTAAACATTACGCCCCGAGCAAGGCGTGAAGCCACTAGGATGCAGGGGGTTGCAGAAGATTAGGACAAGAGCAGATAGGAGTGATAGAAGAAAGGATGAGGAGAAGGATAGTGGATAGATCAAGGTAACTGGAGATGTCGATTGACATTACATTTGAATAGTTGGAGATTATAGCTTTCAGGGAAACAGTAATTGGGGAGGGTGTTCCACTGGCGAGAGGTGCGAGGTATGAAGCTATTGGAGTAGAAGAGACGGCTGCATTTGAAAGTTTCTATTACCAACAATACATTTTTGAGGAAAAAGGTATTAACAGCAATACATTTTTGGAAAATATATTACCAGCAATAAAAAATGTTGTCGGCATTAAATAACCGACTGAGGTGATGATATGCCATAAAACAAAACAAATTAAACCAAACTATTTTCGTTATTTTCTTGTACATTTCGTATTGACAGCATTTCCTACTTGTCTCAGCAATTCAGCATAGCACTATTCATTGATGTTGTGGCTCCATTTGAAGAGGGTCATTACGCACAATTTCTTTTGCATCTCTCAAAAAACTTAGGCCATCAACTTCCTTGCAAATAAAACTACGTTGACCTTCTTTGGAACAGTGAAGAGGGATATTTCCACTGTAAGGATTTCACGTTTGTCTCTCGCCCGCAACACTCATCCTGGTTTAAGAAACATTCAATGATATAAAAATATATATTAAATAATATGAACAAATTAATATTGCTTCTTCCACCGCGAGGAAAGTTGGCTCTCTGTGCCGCGCCAGGAAATTTTTCTCCCCTGAATCGATACTCCAAATATACAAAACAACCATTCGCCCTTGCATGGAGTATTGCTGTCATATATGGGGTGGAGCACCTTCTGCTTACCTCGGAGTTCTTGACAAGATCCAGAGACGGATATGTAATCTAATTGGCCCTGATCTAGCGTCTCGTCTGCAGTCACTCTCTCACAGACGCGCCGTCGCCACTCACTGTCTTTTCTACAAATACTTCCATGGTAATTGCTCTGATGAGCTGCTTTCACTGGTTCCCAGACTCCATGAATTCAAGCGCCCTACGAGGCTGGCATCCCGCTCCCACCCTTACACTGTAGAAACTTTTAAATGTAGCCGTCTCTTCTACTCCAATAGCTTCATACCTCGCACTTCTCGCCTGTGGAACACCCTTCCCAAATACTGTTTCCCTGAAAGCTATAATCTCCAACTATTCAAATGTAATATCAATCGACATCTCCAGTTACCTTGATCTATTCATCTCCTCATCCTTTCTTCTATCACTCCTATCTGCTCTCGCTCCAAATCTTCCGCAACCTCCTGCATCCTAGTGGCTTCACGCCTTGCTTGGGGCGTAATGCTTAAAAAAAAAAAATTAAATAATATGAATAAAATAATATAAAAATATATATTAAATAATATGAATTAATTAATATAAAAATATATATTAAATAATATGAATAAATTAATATGAAAATATATATTAAATAATATGAATAAATTAATATAAAAGTATATATTAAATAATATGAATAAATTAATATGATATATATATATATATTAAATAATTGTTGCGCTTAGCCCATTTCATAATATATGTTGCCTTTTGTTGGCGTTATGATCGTTATAGAAAAAGTGTGGGAAATTTTTTTGTGTAAAAACAGTATTTTGACGTTACTAAACAGATGATTTCTCTGGAGCTAATTCGTCAAAATCGTCAGGTTTGATGACGATTCTTTGTAGTATACAGGTTCGATTCCTGTTGGAAGACAAATAATTTCTTGAAATTTCTCGGACATCCAGACCAGTAACTGTAATTAATAATCTTTCATTAAAAAAAAAATATAGCATTTACGTAAATGATTTCATCTATAAAAATAACGTATAAAGAGAAAAATATCTAAAATAATTGTCGGACTTCGTCCATTACATATATATATATATATATATATATATATATATATATATATATATATATATATATATATATATATATATATATATATGTATTTGTGTGTTTGTAAACAGAAAAAAAAACACTAGGTAAGAGATGAAGGCAAATTAACTAAAACAAAATCCAGCAAAAATTTGGAAAAGGAAACAGACGAATAATACATATACGCTTACTGCGCACTATTGATAGATATGAACACGTAAACATAGATAGATAGATAGATAGATAGATAGATGAATACGTAAACATAAATAGATGAACACGAAACATAAATATGAACAAAGATCGATAGATAGATAGATAGATAGATAGATAGATAGATAGATAGATAGATAGATATATGAACACGTAAACATAGATAGACAGAAAGATAGATATGAACACGGATAGATAGATAGATAGATAGATAGATAGATAGATAGATAGAGATATGAACACGTAAACATAGATAGATAGATAGATAGATAGATAGATAGATAGATATGAACACCTATATATAAATAGATAGATAGATAGATAGATAGATAATGAACACATAAAATAGATACATATAAACATAGATAGATAGATAGATAGATAGATACGAAATATGAATAGATAGATAGATAGGACACGTAAATAGATAGATAGATTGATAGATAGATATGGATACGTATGAATACGTATAGATAGATAGATAGATAGATAGATAGATAGATAGATAGATAGATAGATAGATATGAACACGTATAGATAGATAGATAGATAGATAGATAGATAGATAGATAGATAGATAGATAGATAGATGGGTATGATCTGTTTAAGACTGAGTAACCGCATTACATTCGCGCACAAAACACAGACAAACAAATATGCACATAAAAAGACCTAAATGTCTGAGATAAGCAGTTGTAAGAAGTGTGTGGATCGTACATAGCGCTATATTGCAAAAAAAAAAAAAATCCTCATTTTGTCACATTCCATGTGATCTCGTTTTCAGCGGACCCTGGTTTAACTTTCCTTTGATTTCTTTTCTCTACGCATTTCCTTCCGATCATTCCGTCCTGGGTAAGACGATAAACTACATCCGCGTCCTGGGTAGGACGATAATCTACGTTCAACAACAAGGCCCCTGATCAGGAGGTTTTGAGGAGCATGGAACCACCACTTAATTGCTGGTGTTTTCAGGTCCACCCTGACCCGGGGGTGATTGCACCTGTTAGTGTCCCAGTCCTGGGTAAATAGTTAACACCCAAACAGGAGGTCAAAACCTATGAAAGTGTAAAAATAGGTCTTAATACCAGAAATATTTTGTAAAAAAATTATAACCAGCAATAAATATTTTGAAGAAAAAATATTACCAGCAATACATTTTAGGAAAAAAAAAAAAAAAATAGAAGAAATTACCAGCAATATATTTAAAAAAAAAAAAAAAAATATATCATCAGCTATACATTTTAGGGGAAAAAAAAGAAGATATTACCAGCTATACATTTTTGGAAGAAAAAAATTCCCAGCAATATTTTTGGAAAAAAAAAAAAAAAAAAAATTACCAGCAATATATTTTAGGCGCCCCCCACAAAAAAAAAACAATTTTTTTAAAATAAAAATATTACCAGCTATACATTTTTGGAAAAATATATATATATATATATATATATATATATATATATATATATATATTACCTGCTACGCATGTTATGAAAAAACTATTACCAGAAAGAGATTTTTTGGGAGGAAAAATATTACTAGCAATAGATGTTTGAAAAAAAAATACTAACAATAAAATTTTGTTGGCATTAAATAACCTATTGTGGTTGATATACCGTAAAACAAAATAAACCAAACCAAACCTACCGGTTCTCACCCAAGAAGCCTAATAATATGCCTTCATGACATTTTGCAGTGATCATTTCTATAAAAAAAAATACTAATTATTATTATTATTATTATTATCATAATAATATATATTATTTATTATTATTTACTATTATTGTTAGTAATTAATAGTATTATTATTTATTATTGCAGTGATCATTTCTATGAAAAATACTAATTATTATTATTATTATTATCATTTACTATTATTGTTACTTATTACTATTATTATTATTTATTATTGTTTTTAGTATTATTACTTATTATTATAATTTATTATTACTACTTATTATTTATTTATTTATTTATTATCAATTTTATTAATTATCATCATTCGATTTCTGCTATGGACACACTACCTACCAAGTCTGCGGAAAGACCTAAGGCAGGTCGTGGTGTGTTGTTATAATACATTTCATGTTAATTTTTTTTTTTTTTTTTTATCTCCGATGAAGTTGCTAGCGTTACATAAACAAAGTTCTCCTTAGTGTGTGTGCTGTACTTAATAAGACAATTTTCTGTATGTCTCTTAAGCTGGGGTTTCAGGGATTCTTTCAATGTGTTGTTTTGTTCCATTTTTTATAATTCCAAGTGCACCTATTACCACTGGTATTATTCTTGTTTTCAATTTCCACATTTTTCTATTTCAATTTCCAGGTCTTTGTATTTTTATTAATTATTATTATTATTACTATTATTATTATCATTACTATTATTATTATTATTATTACTATTATTATTACTATTATTATTATTAAAATTATTATTATTATTATTATTTCGAATGTTAGGCTTTAACGGGTTAATAAAAGTTTTGAATTCTGAAGGTTATTCTTATTAAACCAACAGCGTGTGATAGAAAGCAAAGTTTGTGATTGGGCGGATGTTGAGGTCCTAATGTATTTGAAATTTGACACTGTGTCTCGCAGGAGGAAAATTAATTTGGTCAGAGGGCTAAACCTTTCACTACTGTAATTCAAAATCCTTTATATGGCCACATAATTAGCTATGCACGTAACTCTCCACGCTCTAAAAATTACGTATAATGATGATCGTAAAATTCCTTGCCGTCAACCCGTACTAAGTGGGACTACTGGAATTATGAATCGAAGATTTAATACTTAATATTTTTCAACATAAATAATCTTGAAAGCAATCGTTCGTTTATTGAGGGCCGAACTTATATTAGCGTGTGGGATTTTACAGAATGAGATTGTAAATCCTCTCTTAACCAATAAGTTAATTCCTTTTTATTAACAAAGAATAAAAAGTTATCGCCCCAGAGCGTGAAACCAAATTCTTGCGGGTGTTCCTCGAGGCGAGAGACGCCATATCTGTTCATCATTGCTTTGGGTTATTCAATGAGAAACGTAGCAGAAAGTGGTGTAAACTTCAGATGAACAGTAATAAAAGTGTTATATAAGAATAAAAAGTCATTGCCGACACTTGAGTTTGAACATAGATCGCCGGTGAGCAAACACAGGCGATCCCATTATTGAAATAAATAGAGCACGCGACCATAGACGGAACGCATATATGTAGGAAGCAGCTGACGATTAACGATCTCCATTTCTAGTCTATCCTCTATTACTATACGGAATGCTATTCTTTATTCTCTTCTTTATGCTATTTCTATATTCGGAGCGCTATACGTTGGCATCAGAATAATGACAACGAGTGTTTGCTAACATCACAAAATAAATGGACGGAGAACACTCTATCCTGCCACAGCTATCGCTGAGACAGACTACAAAGATGATATTGCCCACATATCTAACACTTTAGATTAGTCTGGAAGCAAGTGGGTGGCAACACTGAAGCTGTAACATTCAGCCAGGTGGTGGGCGTTCTAAGGACACTGGATGGCCGACATTAGTAAACACTACTGACAAAGATATCGAACTCAGGATTGAAAAAAGTATCAATTTCTTCAGGACGTAGGCGATCATGACCCTCCATATCTTCCTGTCACTTGTAGCTCTTAATTTTTTTTTTTTTTTGGTTACTTCACCCAAAACCTGTTCTGCTGACCATTTACTCAAACCAATCAAGTATTTTATAGAGGTTCTATGAGAATTTTTGGCTGAGCTTACGTAGTCGGATACCTCATTTAAACTCGGCCCTGTGCCACATCGGATCGCGTGGGGTGGTTAGTAAATATACAAGCTGGAATCTGTTCAAGCTGTGGTGTCGAACTCTCCGCAAGGCGGAAGTCTCGTCCGGATAGGTAGACAGACCTAATCCCGTTTATTCGGGTTATTCGGGGATATTTTGGCCAAGCCTACGGGCTCAAGTACCCCACATTAAATTCGGCCTTGTGCCACAGGTGACTGCGTGGACAGTTGCTAGATACCGTTTAGCTGTGATGGTCGAACTCTCTGTTTTGGGGCAGAGAGGAACCCAGAGAGGGCGATGACGAAGAGCAAAGTCTCGACCGGGGAGGTAGACGGACCCGAACCCGTTTATGCGTGTTTACGGGGAATTTTTGGCCGAGCCTAATGGCTCGGATTTTCCCCCATATTAAATTCAGCTTTGTGCTACATCCTACTTCGTAGGGAGGCTGGTAAACATTTTTAGCTGGGATCTGTTACTCAGCTCTTAGATGCTACTGAACTACCTGCCTTCGGGCAAAGAGGGACCCGAACGCAGCTCTGCTGAAGTGCAGGCTCTAGTCTGGCGAGTTAGACAGAACCAAACCCGTTTATTCGGGGTTACACGGAAGTTTTGGCCGAATTTTTGGCTAGAATTGCCTCAAATTAAATTCAGATGAGTTTAAGATTGAGGGATGTTGTAGCTAAGATTGTTACTTCGAAATATACTTTTTTACCTTCAATCAATCCGAAGCTCTCTGAGCGAAAGTTTGGTTGCCATATAAGTTACGCATATTTTTACCCCTGTGTCATTTGATATTATTCCATATTAATAGTAATTACTGCAGTCGCCTTTCTGCTCAAACCAACGTTTAACATAATATGATTAATAAGTCTTATTATATATTTATACTATCATATTTCATTTATGCTTAGTTCCTTAGTTAACATGTACGACCGTTACGCCCAGCCAATACTTCATAAATAAAGATCACTTCCGTTTTGACCGCGTGAAACCCACGAAAAAGACATGATATACGCTACTTGGTTTCAGTGAGAAAAAGAAAGAAAGAAAATTCCAACAGAGAAGCCGTGGAATTTTCAGGGTTGCTACTATTTAGTATAAAATACCGAGATGCCAGGTCATGATCGTGTATATTACTGATCCTTCTTTGAATTTTGACAAGCATCTTGAGATATATTCTATGAGCACAAGACAGTGCAATTGGAATATTCGGCTGAGTTTACTATTATTATTTTCTGTCAACCATACATTCTGTCTTCTTAGGCTTGAGGATTAGTCCTTTCTTCTTTCTTTCCGATCAGTAGCGAAATGGAGTATCATTTTCACATATGAGCTGTAGCTGCCTATCCTCTGCCTTCCAACCTAGTCAAAATTGAAAAGCGTTTCCAAAAACTCGTGGCTTATACACCAAGTGTAACACCAAAATTTATATATATATGTACATATGTGTATATGTATCTATGTATCAGCAAAATTGTCCAAATCGTGTAACAGCATAATTGTCCAACCCACAAAATGTTTAATATCTAAAAAAAACACTAAACTAATTGTGTTTTTTTTTTTAGAAATCTTCACACCTTTTGTCATAAGAATCACTGGAAAACCTTTTTAGTTATTCAGCTAGAAAGAGAACAAGTTAAAATCGTTTTGTGCTATTCCCGCTGTCTTCACAACTAAACAATGGTGAGAGGGAAAAGATCATTTAGACCTTCAGTAATGGTACCAACATTCATACTCTGGCTTCGAGAGAACGGGAAAGAAGTTTAAAAAGACGGAACAATAGAGAGGGAAACTGGATCAAGCGGTCACATCAGGAAGAGGGGGTCTTCATTTCAACATTAAGCTAAAGAGGTTAATTAGAAAAGATCCAACTCGATCTATAAGACGTGAAAGAGAATTTTCAGCTGCGACAGTCTAAAGAGCAGTAAAAAAAAAAAAATCAAATCAGTGATGCACCTGGTTACTTTAGGATAGAAAGCTAGAAGGTTAGAGAGGGCCTAGATCATCTTGAATAAATTGGAAAATGATCTTGGAAAAAAATATTTGAACTTCATTTAAGTCCTTCATGGCCTTACGATCCTTAGCTATGGTTAATTAATGATGAACATGTCATTTTCGTTTATGATCGATTCTTTTGTTAAGTTTGCAGAGTAATTATACATTCTTATTGCTCAAAGTAGAGTCCAATAGTGTTATAATAACCTCGGAGAATTCCAGTAAGATATCTTTAATCATTTTTAAGATTAAACCCTTCAGAGCTAAATCTAGCATTTAAGCAATTTTACTGTTACACGATTTGGAAAATTTTGCTGTTACACCCGGGATTGTTTTACACGCTCGAACCTCTATTTCCCGGACGAAACGCTGCTAGACAATCTCTGTTCTATCGTTATTTCCATGGCAGATGTTCGAGCGGTCTCCATTCTCGGGCTCCATCAATTCAGACAATATTATCAATGTCTCACACTCTTCTTTTCTTCTTTCATATTCCATTTGTAAGGAGTAAGTTCTCTTTGGTTTATTCTACAGAACAGCTATAATGTGGAACTAACTGTCGAGGATATACTTTCCTGGTCACTCGACTCTTAAACTCTTCGTCGACATATCCTCATAACGTGCACCCCTTGCTCCATCCTTGTACGCCTTTACAACTACTTCATACAACCTTCATTTGCTCTTTGGCTTGTGATTGGTTGAATAATAATAATAATAATAATAATAATAATAATAAGGCCAACCGGCCAGATATTGTTATTGAAGACCACAAAAAAAAACGGTGCCTCCTTATTGATATGGCAGTCCCTGCTGACTGCAATGTATCTTTGAAGATATTCAAAAAGCTGTCAAAGTACAAGGACCTTGAAATAGAAATCTCGAAAATGTGGCATATGGGAACATCAACAATCCCTGTTGTAGTTGGAGCCCTAGGGCTGGTTGGAAAAGATTGCAGTAGACTAATTGAAGGGATTCCTGGAAGTCCATGCCTCAAGGAGATACAAAAATTGTTCTGACAAGTACAGCCCACACCTTACGAAGTGCTTTATCTATGTAATTTATTTTTTTTTGTCAGTGGAAAGTGTCATGATGCCATTTCTAACCTTAGGTCTCTGGGCGGGACCCGGAAAGAAATGTGTAAACGCCAGAAATCAAAGAAAATAATAATAATAATAATAATAATAATAATAATAGAAAGTCCCTCCTTATTGACCTGGCAGTGCCTGCAGACTGTAATGTATTGGTGAAGGTCTTAGTATCTAAATACTAGCATCTTAAAGAGAAAATCTCAAAATTGAGGCACATGAGAACACCAATAATTCCATTTGTAGTTGGAGCCCTCGGATCGATTAGAAAAGATTCCAATAGATTCATTAAAGGAATCCCTGGTAGCCCATGCCTTAAAGAAAATGCAAAAAATTGTACTCACAAGTACAGCCCACATATTACGAAGGGCTTTATCTATGTAAAATATATGCGACATTTTTTTTTCAATATTTCTCATTGGAAAATATGAAGCCATTTCTGATCATAGTCTCTGAGCGGGACCCGGAAAGAAATGAGTGCACACCAGAAATCAAAGTAAATAATAATAATAATAATAACAATAATAACAAGAAGAAGAAGAAGAAGAAGAAGAAGAAGAAGACGAAGAAGAAGACGCAGAAGAAAGAAGAAGAACAATAACAATAACAATAATAATAATAAAGTAATTAAATAAAAAAAAAGATTTTTTATGCCATACTACTTCAGGACGTAGGAGATCATGGATCTCCTCATCTTCCTTCTATCTTTTTTTTTACGTATTATCAGGAATTTTGGGTGATGATTTTGGACTTCCTGTTATTCAGCCGTCGGCATCTTAGGTTATTCAACCTTTAGCTAGGGCGCGAGGAAAAGATATGGATTCATGCCTTTCTTAAGGTTTAATATTTCAAAAGTAAATGCAAAAGACAGAACGTAAACTCGAGTTGCCGAACCCATTTTCCTCCTAAACATTATGCATAAAAACACGAGTATTAATTAATGAGCCTTTTTTTAAAAAAATTATTTCATCTCAAGCGAAACAGAAGTGGTGCTAAAACGCAAGGGGTTATTGAATGTAAAAGAAAATCATAAAACTTTAGGGGCAAGAACCGGAAACCTAATCCTAAACAGGAAACAAGATATAAACCTCGACTCCTGTTTGAAACGCGTACAAGTGGTGTGAACCGGACGATAGGCGATTCTGACTCGTTTCCGGGAACACCCGCTTGCTAGGACGACTAGCCAGTCCCTGTGGCAGAGGCCTTTGTGTTGCTTCAACAACCAGAAAGCCAACCTGTGTTTTATATTGTAACTACCTTACGTCCACATCACATTGAAAGATGTTAAGCAACATCGAGACTGGTAATTCCCTGGATGAGTGACCGCTGGAAATATCAAGTTTCAGTAACCAGACTGTGCGGTTAATTTAATAAATCGACGTTGGAAATCGGAGAGTCGAGTTTCGATTCCGGTCTGGTTCGTCATATTCACTTACGCGCCTATGACCGCTTCTCTCCCCCAAATATGGGTTAATTAGTAAGACTTGTGTCACTAAACCATTATTATCTTCGAAAAGAATATTGTTACATTACTAAACCCACCATCCATTGTTTACTTGGACACACCATACCACGTACATAAGAATGAATCGTTCTCATTTCTTTCGGACTTATGTGTAAGAAGTAAGTACCAGTCAGAAAGTTTCTTCACAAGAACAGACTCCCAGCACGATGTTTTCCCAATCGCTGCAATCCTGACCTTTCCAAGTCTAGGGTTAAATCTTATCTTTCCTGCATAGTCCCAGGTACTTCGCTTCTTGAATTTTCTAACACCTATACATCACCATACAGTATCCCTCTATCTTTACCGGCTCTTGGGCCTTTTGGGACATTAGTATAAAAAACAACAATAACAAAACAAATCAAAACTATAACTACTTCTAAACTCAGGTTTATTTTTAAAATATACAATATTAATTCAATCGATCAATAATCATTGAAAATACAGGTCCCGTAAGATCACTGAAGTTAAGCAACGTCGAGCTTGGTCAGTACCTAGATAGGTGACCGCTTGGGAATACCAGGTGAGGTAAGCTTGGATATGCGAGTGTTTTAATGGATAAAGGCAAGGAATTGTTAATCGAAGATCTGATTTATATTCATTTAGGCAAAAATACCCAGCTATGGATTAATTAGTAGGACTTTGTTATATAGGAATAAAATGTAGCTGCCGATACTTGAGTTTGAACATAGATCGCCAGTGAGCAAACATAGGCGATCCCATTACTGAAGTAATTAGACCACGTGGCCATAAAGGAAACGCATAAGTAGTAAGTCGCGTGACGTCTAAATGATCGCCATTTCTAGTCTATCCTCTATTACTATACGCACTGCTATTCTCTCTTCTCTTCTCTATGCTATTTCTATATTCGGAGCGCTATACGATCACCATTTATACTCTATCTTCTATTAGTATACGGAACGCTATCCTCTACTCTATTCATTATACTATTTATCTATTCAGATCACTATACCGTGGTTACTTTCCGAGCGAGTATTATCGAGCAAGTGTTATTAATGCGACTGATATTGTTCAACGGCGTTACTATAATTTGTATCTGCGATTACAATGTCTCTACTACAACGAACATTACGAAAGTGACAACAAGTATTCGTCGACATCACAAAAGTGAAAACGAGTATTCGGTGAGTCACAAAAGACTTGTATCACTAAACTTTTATTATCTCTCTAAAAATATCTTGAAATAGCATGAAAAAGGGTTGATAAACCGTAAAAAACAGAACAAACAATCAATTATATTGTAACTACGATGAGCGAAACTTTGTCATAGTTTCTTAGAGAAAGCTCGTAATCAGTCGAAATCAGCAGTTTGAACAGGGTTAGTGCTCCCAAAATCTCGATCACGATGGCTTGTGCCTAAGTGCTAGGACAATCATTGACGTGTTCGAAACACTTCCGTCTACTCAGTTTTATTCACAACGTTTAGATCAACCCGTGTTATGGGTTTCAGATGTTCTCTAGGAGGCATCTGGACTTGAAGGTCTGTTGGCACTCAAATTATACCATTAATCTTCCTATTTTATTAAGGTAATGAATTAGTTCCTTCATTTACGACTATAACTGCGAAAATATATTTAAAATCTCATTGGTGAAAACCTTTAAATAACAGTCTTCTACTTCTCTGTGTCATGTTCCTTCAGATTGTGGGGCATCATAGCTCTCCACAAATTTATACATCTTTTTATTGCTGCCATATATGGTCTGGTGTCCCTTCTGTTTGTCTCTGGGTTCTTGATAGGCTCCAGAGGCGGATATGCAATGTAGTTGGCCCTGATCTGGCATATCGTCTACAGCCTCTTTCTCACAGACGCGCTGTCGCCTCCTTCTGTCTGTTCTACAAATACTTTCATGGAAATTGCTCCGAGGAGCTGCATTCGCTGGTTCCCAGACGTCATGAGTTCAAGCGCCCTACGAGGATGGCATCCCGCTCTCACCCCTTCACTGTCGAAACTCCTAAATGTAGCCGTCTCTTCTACTCTAATAGCTTCATGTCTCGCATCTCTCGCCTGTGGAACTCCCTTCCCTATTCCTGTTTCCCTGTGAGCTATAATCTTCAGCTATTCAAGTGTAATGTCAATCGACATCTCCAGTTGCCTTGATCTATCCACTACCCTTCTCATCATCCTTTCTTCTATCACTCTTATCTGATCTTCCTCTAAATTTTCTGTAACCCCTTGCGTCCTAGTGGCTTCCCGCCTTGCTTGGGGTGAAATTCTTAAAAAAATAAAAAAAACTCTCCTATGAAGGATGGGTCCTCTCTCAAAAGCACGTAATGCCTTGAACATCTACTGGTTCTCAAGAACATCCCAGACCTCAAGAGCAATCTACTGCTGATGATGGTGGGAAAATGGTCGGTTCATTGTATCGTTCTAGTTTAGTATCTGACTCACCGGATATACAAGAACTGGATCAGACGAAATATGGAGCATTGGTGCCATATCAGGCATGAAGCTCTCCAATACTCACTTACCTGTCATGAAAGAATTCAACATTTTCTACGCGACATTGTAGCTGATAAATTATTTTCCACTATAAAACTACTTTCTTACTGACGAAACATCGCAACCCTGTCTCTAATCTATCGCTATTTCCATAGCAGTTATTTTGATGAGCCATATTTCTTATTCCCACCAGCCCTGACCTGAGTAACTGGAACTATATGTTCTCAGATCCGACGGAGGAAGAGGATTAGTCCAACTAGGACTTACAAAACATCAACAAATAGCCTTCAAAGACACCTGGAAACTACAGAAGACAGGATGATGATATGTGTCAAAGAACATGAAACTAATACGCGACATTATTTAGTAATAAAGGAAGCCAACAAGTTCAAAATGGAGTTTCAAGTGGGTGATGAAATACAAGTAAAGCAGAACACAACGACTGCAGCTGCAAAATACTTAAAAACAAAAAGAAAATCTAACCGACCAGATTCAGAAAAAATGTCAAGATGAATCGCTTCACGGCCAATACTCTGCCCGTAACCAAACAAGCTGATGTAGAGAAACCCGTACACGTCAGTGGCTAGAGAGTGTAGAGTTAAATGCTGAAAATGAAGGTTATATTCTTGCAGCACAGGACTAATGCTTGCTAACTAGAAATTGCCAAGCACACATACTGAAAAATTATGCTGACCCCAAATGCAGATTCTGTGATAAATATCCAGAAACACTGTGCAACCTTGTATCAGGTTTCACAGTGTTAGCACTAACCGAATATAAAACTCAGCATGATATAATGAGTCAATATCTGCACTGGAAAATATGTCACTTTTACGGGAATTTTTTTATTTTATTTTTGACTCTGCGACAAGTTCCGAACATGGACTTAATCTTCTTTTTGGCGAGTCGACAGTTAATTTCGATTGTTTACGTGTGATGTTTCTGGCTTAGCGCCATCTATCTTGTCGATCTGTTACAATGGAATTTATTTTGACGAGCTAGAATCCTTGGTCCCACCAGCCGTGACCTTTGCAAATGTGACCCACCTTGCCTACGTACGTAAATATATATCATCCCCAGTAGTTTTGTATTCCGATAGTAAGAAACAATTTCTGTTCGGACAGTTACTTCCCGAGAACTGCAGCTTTGTAGAACAAACTCCCGACAGATTGGTTTCCCAATTACTGTTCATCTTGAGTATGACGATATACTACATCAGCAAGGCCTCTGATCTGGAGGTTTTGAGAGACATGCAACGACCTCTGCCCTTCACAGGTCTCCCCTGACTCGAGGTATTATGGTCCAAGCTATAGACAGATCGTTAACAACCAAGATGGGGTCAAGACACTATGAAAGTATAAAAATAGATTTTTATAATAAAAATACCACAATACATTTTTTTTAAAAATATTACCAGCAATATATTTGATTCTTGACAAAAACGCTCATTGCAAAAATACGTCAATGTAACCTGATCTAAAAACTGATTTCTTACAAAGAATTCATATTCTATTCATACAAACCTATCGTAAAAAATCTTGTCGCTATAAAATAACCCATTGAAGTTGATATGTCGTAAAACAAAATAAGTTAAAAACAAAACAAATTGCCGATTACTACAATCTCGGTCATTTATAGTCTGGGATTAACTACAAGTGTGCTATGATAAATTTTTAGCCACCCTTGTTTACAGCAATTTTGGCTTGTATAATAACATCTCTCCATTTTTTTCAGACAATACGGTGTTAGTATCAAGCTACTCTCATCTATGAACGATAGTTGACTTATATTTTGCAATGAAAGTTCGCGGAAGTAAGGAAATTGGTGAATTTTAACGAGGGCAAATAATAGGATGGTATCAGTGTGGCCAGTCATATAGAGAAATTGTTAGAGTGTTTCCGGGTTAATTATCAAATGGTCAAGAAATTTAATGAAGAAAGCCAATATCTTGTGGAACAACATTCAGGAAGTCCAAGCATCGTGTTTGAGCGAACGAAAAGGACGCTGAATAGGGAAATCATCAGAAACAGTCGTTAGAGCGTCAAAGATGTCACCAACAGCATGGAAATGTGGTCATATGCGGTGAGAAAGTCTCTGAAAGAGCTACGCTCTCAAAGAAAGGTTGCAAAAAAGAAGCCCTTGATTTCAGAGGTTAACAGGAACAGGCGTATGGACTAGGCGAGAGAATTCGAGAGCAAAGATTATGAATTTTGGCAGTCTGTAATTTGGTCAGATTAAAGTAAATTCTGCCAATATTCGAATTCGAGACAGGTTTATGTTTTGGGAAATCAGAATGAAATTTGGAACACTGAATGTCTGCAGGCGATTGTGAAACATGGAGGAATTGGAGTTATGGTATGGGGCGCTGTCTGTTGGGAAATATGAGCTGATTCTTGTTGACGAGCGGTTGAATGGTCCAAAATACTGTTAAATATTAGAGAAAGGAATACTCCCACTATTTGAACCAAACAGATTGACAAGAATGTCTATCATTTTCAAGACGATGGAGTGTTATGTCATACGAGCAAAGTAGCAAAGAACTGAAAGGAATCGCAAGGAATCAAGTTACTGCCATGGGTAGCCCAAAGTCCAGGCATGAAACCAATAGAACACGTTTGGGAGCACCTTAACCGAAAAAATCGAGAGCGTGCAGCCAAAATCACGTCACTGGCAACCCTTAAAGAAAAATTGCTAAAGGAGTGGCAAAATATGGATCAGACGATTGTTGATATCTTGATCAAATCCATGAAGAATCGAATACAAGCACTGAATCTAGGAAATGGAGGACCTACTCTGTACTAGTTCCAAATACTGTTTATTTATGTTGAATTGGGATTGGGTAATTAAATTTTGAAATTGGATGTAATTTATTTCTCCTGCCTAAAAAAATTTTCTTTGGCCACTGGATATATATATATATATATATATATATATATATATATATATATATAAAAAAAATAAACAAAAACTAAAAATTCTTGAAGCTATATACATAAAACAGTTGAAACCTAACCTGAACAAAATAAACTACGAAATCACCACAAACATTCCTAAATGCCTATAATTGAT